TCCAGGTGCCCATTCTGACTATTTCAGGTTTGAAAATTGCTGGGGGGATAACCCTGGGTGTGTTCATGCTGCCTGGGACACTACAGGGGGTTCTACTTTATCTAAGTTACGTTCTGTTGGTCTTCATTTGGATGGGTGGCAAACACCGGAAACGGGCTGAGGAGATCGATGATTTTCATGCCATTCGTCACCGTATAAACTCTTTACTTTAGAGACTTATGTCTGATATTGAACTTCAAGAATTCGGTCGACTGAAAGAGGACCTTCATCACCGCCTCTCTCGCAAGGAAGTGTATTGGCGCCAACGTTCCCGTGTGCAATGGTTGGCGCATGGCGACACCAACTCGGCTTACTTTCATGGGCGAGCTTCTGAACGTCGTAAAAAGAACAATATTTGGGGATTGTCTAGCGCTGATGGGACTTGGGCCGTGGATCCAGATGCGATGTACGCTGAGATATTGTCATATTTTCAGTCATTGTATCGGTCTTCTAATCCAGCTCCGACACCGGTCATTTTGGAATCTGTCTCTCCGGTCATCACTGCATCCATGAACGAGAAACTCACGGCTGCCTTTACACGTGAATAAACTCTTTACTTTAGAGACTTGTTGACGAAAACGGGTAAAGAAAACGAAAGAACACGAGAATTTTACGAGGTTCGGCAATGTGCTTACGTCCTCGGTGCCTAGGCGGCGCTAGAAGTTTTATTCAATGATATTTTAGGTCTAGGTTACATCTCTATTTATAATAGAAAACCCTGGTACATAATTACAAAATCAACCCTGTACCGTACCGCGGGGGCTGCGCCCCCACACCCCCAACCCACATAATTCGTAACCCCACAACGAGACTTTTTATGAGCCATACATAACAAATCTCCACCTTGGCGAATATCCTGCCCCTTGGAAACTTCAATGTGGGTTGGGTTACCTTGCTTCTTTAACAACTCGAAACATTCAACAAGTCCAAGCAATACTTGAACTTGTCTGTCGTAACTGGCTTGGTGAACATATCAGCGGCATTCTCATCAGTATGTACCTTCTGAAACAAAACCTCTCCAGATGCAACCAACTCTCTGATCTTGTGGAACCTTACATCAATATGTTTAGTTCTAGCACGATACACCTGATTCTTAGCCAAGTGAATAGCACTTTGATTATCACAAAGCAACTGAACTCCACCTTGTTGAACACCCAACTCCTTCACTAAACCAGTAAGCCATAAAGCTTCTTTTGCAGCTTCAGCCGCTGCCATGTATTCAGCTTCAGTTGTAGATAGTGCCACGACAGATTGAACAGTAGACTTCCAGCAAATAGGCCCTCCACCAAGAGTAAACACATACCCTGTCGTAGATCTTCTATTATCCAAGTCACCTGCATAATCTGAATCCACATATCCTACAACCAAAGGATTATCCCGCTGACTCCCAAAAACAATTCCATGTCCCACAGTACCCTTTAAGTACCGAAAGATCCACTTGACTGCATCCCAATGTTGCTTACCAGGTTTAGACATGTACTTACAAACTTGACTAACAGCATGAGCTAAATCAGGACGAGTACATACCATCGCATACATCAAGCAGCCAACAGCATTAGAATACGGAACCTTTGCCATATTTTCAGCTTCCTTATCTGTCTTAGGGCACTGTTCTGATGAGAGCTTAAAGTGATTCGCCAATGGAGTGCTAACTGGTTTCGCGCTGCTCATCGCAAACCTTTCTAGCATTTTCTCAACATAACCCCGTTGAGATAGCCGCAGTTTCCTTGAGTCTCTGTCCCTGCAAATTTCCATTCCAAGAATTTTCTTTGCAGCACCTAAATCTTTCATATCAAATTCCTGACTCAATAAAGTTTTCAAACCGATAACATCATCCATGTTCTTCGCAGCAATCAACATATCATCAACATACAGTAATAGAAAAATAAAAGAACCATCATCAAGGCTCTTAACATAGACACAACAATCATACTCACATCGGTTGTAGCCAATCTTGATCATATAGGAGTCAAACCGTTTATACCACTGTCTCGGAGACTGTTTTAACCTGTACAAAGATTTCTTCAATCTGCAAACTAAATGCTCGTTTCCAGGTTGAGTGAAACCTTCAGGTTGCCGCATGTAGATCTGCTCCTCTAAATCACCATGCAAAAAAGCAGTTTTAACATCCATCTGCTCTAAATGCAAATCCCAACTAGCCACCAATGCAAGTACTGCTCGGATTGAAGTGTGCCTGACCACAGGAGAAAAGATTTCATCATAATCAACTCCTTTCTGCTGTGAAAAACCCTTCGCTACCAAACGAGCCTTGAACTTCTCCCCCTCTTTTTCTGTTACTGCTGGTTTCTTCTTATACACCCATTTGCAACCAATCGGCTTCTTACCCTCAGGAAGGGGAACTAACTCCCATGTGCGATTGTGATTCAAAGACTCCATCTCCTCAACCATGGCTGCCATCCACTTGTCGTTTTCCTGACTAGTAACGGCATCATGAAAAGTTTCATATGCTAATGCAGTTGGGAGCTTGATGTGTGCAATGGTGTGTACGCGTCCTGACATTTCACAAGCAGTTGGAGTTGTGAGCAGGTACATGCATGATCCTAGAGAAAGACATTGGCAAGCTGTGAAATGGATTCTACGGTATCTCTAACAAACCGCGGATGTTGGTTTAGTTTTTGAACAAGATGAAACACTTGGTCAGTGTGTGGTTGGATATGTTGATTCCGACTATGCTGGTGATTTGGATAAGCGTCGATCAACTACTGGGTATTTGTTTACTCTTGCTAAAACCCCAGTAAGTTGGAAGTCTACCTTGCAATCTACGGTGGCTTTGTCTACTACAGAGGCAGAATACATGACAGTTTCAGATGCTGTGAAGGAAACAATTTGGCTTAACGGGTTGATGGAAGACTTGGGAGTTGTTCAAAGTCACATTAGTCTCTATTGTGACAGTCAGAGCGCTATTCACTTAGCGAAAAATCAAGTCTACCATTCAAGGACTAAGCATATCGACGTGAGGTATCTCTTTGTGCGAGATATCTTTGAAGAAGGAAATATTCTACTTCAGAAAATTGCGACAGCAGAAAATCCTGCAGATATGATGACCAAGGTAGTAACATTAATCAAGTTCAATCATTGTTTGAACTTGATTAACATCCTGAAAGTATGAACACCTTCGGGTGTGTGGCGTTTGTGAGCGCAATTAGAGGCACAACATCAAATTTGGGGAGTTGAAGAAGTTGAGTATGCTTGGTAATTTCAAGTCAAGGTGGAGATTTGTTATGTTTGGCTTGAAATTAAATTTGGCAAGTTGGAAATTTCATCTTGGTTGGTGGCCAACTTATTGGAAAATTCATCTTTGGTAGGTGGCCAACTTATTTTTCATCTTTGGTCCCTAAAATATTAGGTTATTTATAAGTTTAGTCCTTAAAACTCAACTATAAATAGGCCTAAGTATTTCATTAGAAATCATCCCAAAATAAGTTCTCTCTTCCTCTTGTTTTCTTCATTCTCTCACTTTGGGAATTCTAAAGAATTTCATTTGTTGTAATATTTGTTGATAGTGAAGTTATCATCCGGTGTGGTGCCCGAGGAGTAGACGATATTCTCGTCGAACCTCGTAAATTTGGTGTGTTCTCTCCTTTATTTTTTTATTCGGTTTTTTCATTGTGTTTCAATATTCAATAGTTTGACAGGTTTATCCGCTGTGCAACCTTTGGTGGTTTTGATCTTGACATTTTAGGTCAATTTTGAAACTACGTTCGTGTGGGAAATAACCCGGTTTCCCCAACACCTAGTTGGGTTGATCTCATCATGTGTTGTGTGACTTCGGTTACCTATTGTGTTCGGGTGAATGGCTGCCTTACGGAACGATTTAAGTCAGAACGTGGTCTGCGTTAAGGTGATCCTTTGTCACATTTCCTATTTCTTTTGTATTCACAAGGACTATCATCGTTCCTCCATACCGAACAACAAGCTCATCGTCTTCGGGGTCTTCGGGCAAGCCGCTTTGGTCCTCGTATCACATATTTATTCTATGCCGATGATAGCTTGGTGTTTCTACGACATCCACTGTCGAAATTTCAGCTCTTAAAGGAGGTCTTACATGAGTGTGAGATAGCATCTGGGCAGCAAGTGAACTTTCATAAATCAAGTGTGTATTTCAGCCCCCAAACTAATCAAGCTGATCGTGCACATATGAGTGCTCTATTAGTAAATGAGGGCAGCCCTACTTTCTCCAGTTCCTGATCCTATCGTTTCTATTCAATATTGTTGAAAACTTCAATTTAAAGAGGTATGATTATACTCTATATAATGGATATATTTCATTGTATTATTAGTAAAATTACAAATAGATTATTTAACTTCAAAAAGTTATAAACATATTATCTTATTTATCGATTGTAACAAATAAATCACTTAACTATTAAACTTTTAGTTACAATTAAATCACTATTTTGATTTATAACAATCAAGTTACTCAAATATAATTAAAAGATTAACGTCCATTATACACTTAATAGCAAAGAGACATGCTTGTTATAATCAATAAATAGAGTGATCCATTTATACTATTTTTAAAATTAATTATCCATTTATAAATTTACTAATAATTGAGAAACATGCGATATTTTACTCAAACTCTTTTGCAACAAAATGGCATTTTCCCACAACTTATGCCCATTAGTTTTTAATATTTTGACTCTTTGATACTAATAAAGGTGCAGTTAAAATGAAACATATTTAACCATAGGCTTTTTGGTATGAAAATTCAGAACTGGAAAACAATTACATTTACATGGATACTAGGAAAAGCAGATGTACGCAGTGTCTTGCATTTTATCTAGTAATTTTCTTAGATTACTTTATATATTGCCACATGGGGCAGTAAATCAAACCGTATAAAAACTAACAGAAGAAACAAACACCCTAAAATTAATGAAAACTGTCGAGAGACTCGCAAACTACGAAAGCATTAGTATTTAATTACAACCAGACCAAACAAACGAGGGGGGGGGGAAGGAAAATGAGTTGAAAGCGGCCGGCCAAAGGCAAAAAAAGGCCTCTCCTATGACAAGAATCCGTGGTGTGGTGTGGTTTGCGCAGAGCAGATTTGGTTTAATAAAGAGGTAACTGAATCCTTTTTGCTTGCTCAATAGCTCAATATTGAGGTAGCTGAATCCTTCTTTTTAAGTCGAGCTCGAGTTGTTTGCGCCTTCAAGAGTTTGTTTAACACCCCTCGTGCTAACAAACATTCCGGAGCTGACAGGCTTATCATTAAAATCTTCTGCAGCATCCATAAATACCTTTGACCTCTTTAATATCTTAGAATGCTCCTCTTTCGTAGCACTCAACTGAGCCTCTAGCTTGAGTATCTTAGAGTGTTCCATTCGACCAATGTACGCGCAAGCAATTTTCTTCAAATGTTCCATGGCAAATTCCACCTTGAAATTCATACATAAAGCATCCTTGATTACATCCCTCCACTTCAATATCAGGCCCTCGGTAACGTGCTCTAACCGTAGATCACTCATCTCTTTGACGCAAGCACAAAACATGATGTAGATCGCCTCGGCAATAGTCGGATTCATTTTACTTGTTGCAGAAACATCACCGTAGACATCAATGATGTTCTTTATGATCGGATGTAGAGAGAGTGGAAAGCTATATTTGCCTATTGTTATGCGCTCACCATCTAAGCCAGAAAAGTCTGACAATTTCACTTTACTCCCATCATCAGCTTCAAGCTTAAAGAGAATGTCAGTAACGGCTGCATCACCATTTGATATGGGATGGAATTCAGAAAGCTTCATCGATAAAAACTGCACCAAAAAAAACATAATAATATAAGATATTATCATTTTGATATGATTGAAGCGTGCACCATTTCAGTTGTTGAATTAAGCTCGAATACCTCAACCTGTCGCTGAAGTGATTGTATATAATTAATGATTTCATCTAGAGCTTCTGCGCCTGTAAGCTGCAAGAACCATTAAAACCTGACAAAATAAGCAACACTTGCTGTTCTAAATATTAATTTAAGCTATAACATCCAGAAAAACACACCTTGCTACAACCAGGTACCAGTTCTTGAAGAATTCTCTCCTTTTCTTTGATGGTTTCTATTCTTACCTGAAGCCATAACCAATTAACCCCAATCAAATGATTAAACTTTACTGAATTTCAAAAGTATAAGATTTAAAATATTACGTTGTAACAGTGACTGGTTTTTGTCTGGCCTATTTGGGGGATGGTTTCATCTTCTCCCTTCTCGTGATTTTCAACACTGTCTTTTCTTGCCTTGTTCAATGGTTGGCCTCCCTTAGCTTGATCAAACTCAGCATCCTGCCATAATCTTAGCAATCAAACCTTAGACTACAAACAAAAACAAATATGTAATGGAAAATCATTTTGTTACCTGCACACTTCTTTTTCTTTTGTTGAGTGAGATTTCTTGAACTTGCAAACAAGTATCTCTAGGAGCTTCAGTGGCATTCAACAAAGCATCCAACCCAGATACTGGTTTCACCCCATTGACTTCTAAAATGTTTTCTTGTAGTTGCATCAAGACAAGACTTATAAAGCTTGCCTGCTGCAATTCCAAACTTCTGATCTGGAAAAATCAAATTGTGAGGAAAAGCAAATCAAGATTCGATGTTTACAAGCTTTATAAAAAACTTAATATGGTTTAATCCAATTGAAGTCCAAAGATGAATTCCAGCCGAAGCATTAGATATTTCAAATCCAATATAAAGATGCAGAACAATATGACATACCTTGTCAACAAGTTCAGAATTAGTTCCATGGTGATCCCGCAAATGACAAAAAAAACAAATAGGCAACACTGATTGATTTTAATGGTTATAATGTATGAGATGAATTTCAGTAAAAGAACTATATATATTTTAAACCAGGTAGACTTATAAAGATGTAGAATAATATATCATACCTTGTCAACAGCTTCAGAGTAAGATCCATGATGATCCTGCAAATTGCGGAAAACAGATATGTTCAGAATGGTTTTAACGGTAGACTTGTAAAGATGTAGAATAATATACCATACCTTGTCAGAAGCTTCAGAGTTAGATCCATGATGATCCTGCAAATTGCGGAAAACAGATATGTGATATAAATAAATTGAACTAACAAAAATATGTGATATACATGAATTGGACTAACAAAAAGGAATAAAAAAATGAAGTTAAATGATGATTTTAAAGAAAAAAATAATAGATAGAGGTCAAAACGGAATCGCGAAAATAATTGAGTGACTAAATATATATAATTTATCTCATATTTAAACTTCAAGGAGAAAACATCTAAAAAATTACTTCAAAAAATTAGGGGAGGGAAATGATGAATGCCAGTCATGAAAAAGAAGCGAACTGCAAAATAATGACTTATATTGTGGTTCTTAAAAAACTTTGGAAGCTCACAGATGCTACCTGGAGAGAAAGACTCTGATGCTCAACCTGCTTGCCACTGGAAGGCAACAATCCTATTTTTTCTTTTAGTGCTGTATTCTCAGCGTTTAATCGCTCATTTTCCTCTTTCAAGTGTTTATTCTCAGCAATCAGTTCATGTGCCTTTTCCTGCAACACAAACAGTGAACATTAAAAAAAAAGGAATTTGCAGTGCCAAACATACCCAACTTTAATATCAAACCACGAGCAATTCTTGATTCAAATGAAATGGGATAACAAAGGATCTTATCATACAACAAACAAGAAAGAGTTATCAAGCAAGAGTAATATGGAAGAACAACATAAAAGCACAGGACTTATGGACTTCGGTACCATTTTAAGTATCCAAGATAGGATAAAATAGTTTGCTAATAGGTAGAAACACAAATTTGAATATAAAACCACCATCTAGTACCATTTCAGTCACTGAATTAAGATTTTATATATAGAGCATCTAACAGAGCATTTTTGTAAAATTGTAAGCTTGCACCATTTCAATGGCTGAATTAAGCTTGAATACCTCAATGGCTGAATTAAGCCTCAATCCCTCAACTTGTCGCTGAAGTGACTGTACATAGTTAATGATTTCATCCAGCATTGCTTCCTTGCCTTTAACCTGCAGGAACACAATAAAACCCTCACAAAATAAACATAACTAGCTGTTGTAAATAACTGTTGGGTGTTATTTTAAAGGTAATTCTTCAGCTATAACATCCAAGAAAAACACACCTTACTGCAACCACGTACAAGTCCCTGAAGAACTCCCATCTTTCCCTGAAGAACCAATGAGCAAGTAATCCAACTTTAATATCAAACCACATGCAATTCATTGTTTAACTGGAAGGGGAAAACAAAGAAGCCTACCATACAACCAGCATGAAAGAGATGTCAAGCAAGAGTAATATTGAAGAACTAACAAAATAGCACAGGACTTGGACTTTGATACCATTTTAAGCTCCAAGATAACATGATACTTTGAATATAAAAAACCACAGTCAATTACATATGATAAGTGAGAAGAAAATTTAAACTTTCTTAACCTTTAGCTTTTGTCTGTAGTTTATATCGCATTTTCTTTTATTTTCTCTTTGTGCTGGAGTAGGTTTAGATTTACCACATTCTGCTTCTGTTTGAAATGAGGCTTCAGATGTTTCGGCTTGATTAAACTGGTAATTTGGAGACTCCATTGGTCCACCATTTATAGCAGGCCCAGAGATCTCAGTAGTGTCAATGACGAACTCAGAGTCAATCATACCAATCAATTCAGAATCATCTATGAACGAGCTTCCATCGAGGTTGAACGGATTAGTTTCGAATGGGAATTGTGATTTATCTCGCATCAATGAATTGGATCCATCCGATGAATAACCACTAAACATCTTGTAGTACACCTATATATATTTAACTAGCAGAAGAAAAGAAAAAAAAGGAAACAAATCTTGAATTCAACCAGATTTCTGAAAATAAATGCTCAACATTCATAACGGTTTAGCAGCTTACTTGAGTGGGAGAAAATTGAAGAAGAGGTAGACGGAATCTTCCTTTCCTGCTTCAGCTGAAACTACAAAGGCCAATGATGTTTAGACTTAACATCATCTGATTCTTATAACCCAACCTTCAGGCTTCAACACTCTAGTTACTTCTTTCTTCTTCACTTCATCGTTCGAAAACCTACCACTTACTTCAATCGTCCGAGTTGCTCGTACGCGTTTCTTTTTAGAAATTTCTTTGTCATACTTCTTTCATCGAGTTCATTGTTCAGACTCTAAAAGTCAATCATGCCAGGCCCCAGACCCCAGTGCGAGTCGTCCGAAAGCTCTTTTTTTATATAGCAAAAGTCGTCCGAAGATTAAAAACTTTATGAACCGTAGGATCTGTCAGATCATATTACGTGGAGAAACTGTCATTGCTTTCAGCCCCGCCCTTATTTTCAGGAACGGGTTTATTAATAGGTTCATAAATATTAAATAGTTCATTTTCTCTTAAACATTATAATTAAATTATTTAATTAATGGATTATTATAAACATATCATTGAATCATTAGATATTACATAATTTTTTAATATTGAATATTTTATTAATTAAAATATATTAAATTTTAAAAAATTATAAAGGAGTGAATCAATTAATTGTTTGTTACAATCAGATCCTTTATTGATATTGTTGATCATTGTTGTTGTTATAGATGATGGTCGATGAAAACCAAACTTCACTGTAAGGTTCACCTCGACATCTTTGTTCACTTTATTGGATTAAATTCACGATAATCTCTCTCAAAAATCATGAAACCACTTAAAATTATCAAACTTTTTGAGTCGATTTACCTCGTCAATAGTTAGATTATCTTCAACTTGAGATATTTCTTCTCACCAATGATAGTCTTTTCATCGTTAGGATCTTCGAATAGAGCCCCCAATTTTCAAGAAGCTCAAAACCCAAAATAAATTTTCTTTTATATTTTTTTTATATATAAATTAAATGACTCGTTCGTGAGCTTTTGAAATTAGATGAACTAGTAATCCTATTAATAATTAGATGACAAATTTTAAATTTTATTAATAATTAGGTGGTCCATTTGTAATCTTACTAATAAAAATATTAAAAACTGTTTCCTACTGATACCTTCTAATGTCCGTTTCATTTATAGATCTAATGATATGTTTGTAACAATTGGTAAATTGAGTTGTTTTTAAAAATTATGTGACCTATTTGTAATCTTATTAATGATTGAATGACCTATGATGTAGTTTATCCCTTTGTCTACCTCTATTGCCAGATTGTTACGCGCGTTGTCTCTTTCGGATCTTTTGGCTGTTGGTTCGGTTTTCAGTTCTGGTCACAATAGAAACCAACTTTATCACTTTAAAATCCTCAAAATGTAATACAGTTTCTTTATTTAAAAGAAAACACTTAGCAATTATTATTGATTTCGTTTTATTTAAAAAATTATTATTTATTTTATTTTTGAAAAAAAAAACATATTTAAATAGAAATAAAATTTATTTTCAATAATAAAAAATTATTAAGAACATGTAGAAATGTGAGTAGTAAAAAAATTTACTCTTATATGGACTGAGTTACTATGGAGTTAATTGCACATGAGGTCCCCAACCCATAATCTCCATTCTAAATTGATTTCTAAACTTTAAATTTTTTTATATCAATCACTAAACTATGATACCATTCTAAATTGGTTCCTAAACTTTTTAAGTTTTATATATATCCTCAAACTACCAATAACATTTCATTTTGATCATTTTGTTAACGTGCCATTAACTCAACTAATTTTTGAAAATCATAAGAATTGAAGATATGAGATTCCAAAAAAAAAAAATTTATTTTTTAAAGTCTTGAGATTTGAACCCGTGACTTTATGAAAAAAAAACTATTTTGATTTTTAAGGTCATGAGAAGTTTTTTAGAAGGTCACAAGTTTAATTCTCATTACCTTCAAAAAACATTTTTTATTTTTTTATCCATTAGAGTTAATGACACATTAATAGGAGGATCAAAATGAAATGATATTGAGAATCAGAGAATTGGTATAGAATGTTTAAAGTTTAGGGATTAATTTAAAATGAAGTTATAATTTGAAATTTGTTACAAAATACTTTTAAGTTTAAGGAACAATTTAGAATATAGATCATAATCTGAGGACATCTTGTTTAATTACCTCATATGGATTTAATTATCATGTATAAACGAATCATTAAGGAATCTCAACTGTAAAAGGGATGTTTTTCGTAGAGGACATAGATTTAAATAATTACGTTTACAGGATGTGTGTATATTAACAATGTTTAATAAATACTCTACTCGTAATGTCCAACTATATCTTTTAGCTTTAATTTTAACAAATTAAATCATGTATATTAACATCATTATATTATTTTAATGCAAAACTAAGATCAACAATCCTACTTAATATATTTTTGACAAATCAACAAATTAGCGTTTAGTAGTTGATAATTTTATGTTTAAAAAGTTGTGAAACATACATTTTAAAAAGGAGTTGATTGAATGTTTTTAAAATGTTTTTTAATATTATTAAAAAAATAAATAATAACAAATCAAAATTGAAAAAAAATATTAAAAATCAATAAATAATAATTTTAATAAAAGAGAAATATGGATAAATATACACATTATACATCCTTTGAGTTTGTGGGACCAAATTGAATGCAATGTGTTGAAGATGAAAATATAGAAGTAGAACAACTGAAAATACACATAATTTGATTGCATTTTGCAGAGAATTTTATCACTCAATGCTTGACGGTCGAAGTTGCGATTATCTCACTGCAAAAACCATACAAATGCAAGCCAAGAAGAAATTGATCAGAAGCCACAAACTTATAACCTCACATTTATTTTATTTTTTTAAGAAATTTAAAATGTTTCATAACAACCACGTATACCATGCAGACGTAACTGTTCAAATTTAAAAACTTTAAAAAGAATAACAATTTCTTTTACCGGCTTTGATTTGAACTCAAATAAACCCTAGTGCAAATGAAATAATTTTAAATGATTATTTAGGTAAAGGAAGGAGGAGCTGACCGAAGCAAGTGAGTGAGGAGAGAAGCTTTGTTGAAGTCATTTTCTTCTCTAGCTTTGAGAATTTGAAACATGAGAGCTAGGCGAAGCTGAGTGTGTGCGCTTTGGCGAATGATGGCATTAGTTTCCTCCCTCAATTTCTCGCATTCTTCTTCAATGGCTTCCAGTTTCTCTCCAACTTGCCTTTGTTCTTCTTTAATCATCTTTTGCTCTTCACTTCTCTCTTCCATCTCCCCTTTCAACTCCACAACTCTCCTTCTCATCTCCTTTCTTTCTCTTCTTTTCTGTAAACCAAACACAATAATTGTTTTTTTAATTAATAATTAAACTAAAAAAAATTAGTTATTGTAGTAGTAATAATAATGCATCGACTATCACACCGGAGTTGTTATCAAGTTTGATGTTGGTTTTTTTAAAACTTTGATACAAATATATTATTTTATTTAAAAAAATCAGCTGACCTTATTCCTATATGTAATGGGATGAGGGGAGGTAAGATAGTAGGCTGCCCCCAACGTCAGGTTGAGAGCAACTTCCGTGGAAGACCTCCGACAGTAAGAATTATGAATTGCCCACCGTGGGACACGATCCCACGACCACAAGGTTAAGAGCCTTGCGCTCTACCAACTGAGCTGGACGGGCAATTCATATTATTTTATTTCAAAATTTCATTAATAAGAACTCACCTAATTCAAAAAATAAAACATCAATTCTCCTAATTCAACTTTTAATTATAATATATATATATATATATATATAATATTTTTATTACTTTTTTTGGGTAAATTACATCAAATACTACTAAACTTTTAATTGCTCAAATTATAGCATTAAACTTTGGTTTTACCTTCAATTATACTAATGAACCGTTAAATTTTAACAACACGATGATGTGGATGGATCTTTCCATCAATGCGATGACAAAAAAAATGATATTGTGTTAGGCACTGAACTTTAGGAATGTATCGATTTTACTACTAAACTTTAATAAAGGTTCGATTTTAGGCATTAAACTTTTACGACTGCTAACAACCAATCATTTCATGTCATTGATCATCATTCACAACAAGAATAATATCAGAATGTTTACATTTCACTCATCTTTTTCTCATTGGATTGGGTTTTCACGAAATTCACTCAAAATCAACGAAAATCCATTTAAATGTTCGATATGTTAATACCTTGATCTCCTTCAATAGCCATCCGATGAAGATTATTTTAAGTTATATTGTTTATCTTCCCAAAATAATGCTTCTCACTGTTTGGATTTTCGAACAAATATCTCAACCCCTTAAATTCGAGAAAACCCCTAAACCCCTAAAAATGGTGAAGTTTTTTTGTTTATTTGTATCCATTTTAAGTGGATTTCATGTAAAGTTAATCCTAAAACAAGAAAGAAGAGTGAAATGATAACGTTTTAATATCGATCTTGTCTTGAATGATAAATTACAATCAAAGTGTAATGCCTAAAAGTAAATCATTCAAAAGTTTAGTGGCAAAATTGATATATCTCTAAAGTTTAGTTCCTAATACAACATTATTTTGGGCATTAATAGTTGTACCAGTACGATGTTGTTTTGTCCATGTCATCACATCGTTTGAATTTTAACGGTTCAATTGTATCATTGAAGCCAAATTCAAAGTCCATTGCTATAACTAGAGCAATTGAAAGGTCACTGCTATAACTGAAGCAATTAAAAGTTCAATGGTATAAACGATACATCACCTAAAGTTTAGTAGTATAAAAGATACACCACCTACGATTCAGTAATATTTGTTGTAATTTACCTTTATTTTTACATTAGTCTCTTATTTTTTATATAATTTAGTTTTCAAAATAGATTTTTGGTTGTTTCACATTGGCAGTGTACTTTATCAATTCACTAGAAAAGGCTTAAAGGTATTCGAAGCAACTTCCCATTTGGATTTTTTTATCATTTTTAGAATTACTTTAGAATTTTTATAATTTCTTATAACTTTTTAAAAAATAATAATCAACGCTTGAAAATTTCCCAAGAATACTCAGCTTAACCCGGAAATTTCATTAATATGAACTATCCTCATTCAAAGTTCAAACAATAAGATATCAACTCTCCTAATTCAATTATATATATATATATATATATGGACAGATCCAATTATATCCAGTGTAAAACTAAGAGTTTTACATCTTTTCAGGATCGTTGGATGAAAGAAATCAAAAGCTGCGATTAACAATAGGAAATGAGAAGATATTCTTGGTATAATATACACCAAAGAAGAATAGGAATTAGGCATTGGATAACATATATATAATTAGTGTCGGAAGAGACTTATTTAAACCTAAGCTTTAAATCTTAAATCTTAGGATTTTATGTTAGAGGTGAACTTTTAAAATTCTAAAAATGAACGAATTTATAAAATTCTAGGAGGACGAAAATAAATTTTTAATAAACAATACAAAAAACATCTAAAATATATGGTAACTTAAATTTTCAAGAAGAACAACGCCCAGTATAACATTAACAACGTATCCATTTGATTTTGCGGATAAAGAAACAAACCTTGAGCTTTATCCCAGATCGGTGGCATCTCTTCTTGAAGGCTGGCAGAGGATGCAAACGAGTGAAGGAAGACGAAGTCATTCTTTTAGACAAGGCTTGGTCCTTTTATTCTCAAATATCACTCGCCATATGCATATATATAGAGGGAAGTCTATGATATATAAGATTATCTAAAATGTATTTATGTGTAAGACTATAACACATCATTATTAATAAATTTAAAATTAAAATTTAACAAAAATATATTATTTTCAAGCTTACTGATGATATATAAAAGTATACACCATTATTACGTCAAATGTTAATCACATATATATATATAATCACATTCATAATATATATGAAAATTATTTATTTATATTTTTTTTATACAAAAAAATATTCTTTAAAATAAATTATTCTTTCCATCCCACTAGACCCTTGCTAACTTTTTTGTCAACATTTTCAAAATTAATTTTTTATTATTTAAATTTTATTAGTAATAAAATATATTTTTTAAACGACCTTTAATCAAGTAATAATTTTATAAAATTTAGTTATTTAAAGTAATTATAGTAAATGTTAGATGTTCTTATAATTATATACTAATAATGATTTATTAATGAAATATTGATTTTTCTAATAACCTGCAGTAATTACATGGTAGTATATGTTCATAATTTTTTTTAATTATTGATAACGCACATACATCCTACAGACACGGCTACTCGAACTCAAGATTTGAAAGGAGAACAATACTCTCTTTGACCACTGAGACCACTCAATAAATTCTACTAAAATTATGTTAGTTACAATGAATGGATCAATTCCTCAAGTAAGAATTACCTTAAGTATCCAAAGAAACAATTTCATAAGAAGTTCCTTCCACGGCAAGAGACTTACTAAAATTATTCATTAAAAAGATTAAATACATATTTAATAACTAAATTAGTCTTCCATTTCCAAATAGACAATCAATTTTTTTTCAGATTAATACTCAAATTTTAATTTCATCTATTATTTGAATATTGTTATTAATGCTGTTAATTATTTATGATAGGACACCATAAAAGTATATCACATGACAATGATGATATCATTATGTATTTTTTATTAAAAAATTATTTTTTTGAAAAAATATTAAAAATTTAAAAAAATTAAAAGAAATCTCAAATCAGATAAATTTAATGGCTACAACACTTCAAATTCCATTCTTCTCTTAAAAAATCTAAAATACGAAAATGAGTTTAAAGTTGAAGTTTGACTATAAAAGATTGTTGTAATAAATTAAAGTAACCTACAATGTTGTATCAATTGAAAATCTTGTTTTTAAAAAAAAATACACACATTTATTTGAGCATATTAAAGAAAATTTGCACTCAAATTAAGTACAAAAAAAGGGGGGATAAGGGAAAACTGTGAAAAGAAGTGAAATATCATGATTTTATAATAAAATAGATAAATAAAATTTTATCTCATGATAAAATAAAAGAATATATTAAAGATTCAAATAAAAATAAACAAATGAGTAACGCTAGACTAGTTAATTAGAGATAATTTATTGATAATTGTCGATTAATTTTTTTAATATGTTTTTGATTTTTTTTGTTTTGTAATTTTCTTTGATAACATTCTAAAGATTTTTATAAAATAGATTATGACATCATCATTGACATATAACATGATCTTATATTGTAATGTCATAAAAAGGTAATATCATTAATAAAAATATTAAAATATTAAATGAGATTATAATTATGATATCAACTTTAAAACAATTGAATACTAAATTTGAAGAAAGTATAAAATTGAAGTACCAACTATATATGCAATCCTATTAAAAATAATAAAACATAAACTAACCAGTTGATTGGACCCATCCAATTGATTAAACTCAAGTGGGGCGTCATATATGTAAAAAAAATTAAAAAAAATTAAAAATTTTTAATAGTTTACAAATGATTACATGATAGCATATCCTCATAATATTTATTAGTTATTAATAACACACACTCATTGCAAACGTAGCTGTTTGATCTCGTGATCTTTACGGAGAATAACATTCTCTTTTACCATTAAAATCACCTAATGTGTTTCAATTTTAGATAAATATTGAAATAATACTCTTTCATATAACTTTTTGGATAAAGTACATAGACTATAAGACGTTGATTTGTTGAATAACTCTACTATTAAAAGTTACAAAATAATCATTCGACTATTCATTATGTTCCAAACTCGTCCTTTTCCGTTAAAAAAATTAATGATCATATGAGTTGGACGTTAACATGTTGACTAAGATATGACAGTCGTTTAAGCTTATGAGATCGAATTTTATCATATCTTAGTCAATAAGTTAATATCTAACTCAAACGATCATCAATTTTTTAACATAAAAGGAATAAAATGAATAATCGAATGACTATCTTGTAACTTTTAATAGTCGAAAAACTTAACAAAACAACATCTTATAGTCATTAAACCATTTTGAAACTTTTAGTAATCAAGAGACTCACCAAATAATATCACATAATCGAAAGACAATTTATATAATTTACCTTAATTTTTTTAATAAATGGAAAAAGTAGAAGGTTGTCCACATAATAATTCCAGAAGTAATGAATGCGATGAGTTTGTGATATTTGAAGCTTATAGATCAAATGTACCCGTGGACAATTTGCAGGACATGACAACTATACAACTATTGCTATATGCGTTTGGAACACGGAAAGCAACCGATTTGTACTCAAATTCGCACGATACTCTATAAGTATCCGTCCCTTTGCTGCCGATATCGTTCGTTCTCGTCCCCCCTTTTTTCTAATCCCCACTTGGCCACTTTTCCTCCTCTCGTACGCTGGTTGATTCAACTACTAAGCTATGGGCCTACTTCTAAACATTTCCTTTAATTAATTTATTCTTTGACGTTTGGGTTTCTGTTACTTACATATCAAGTTTGTTTGCGTATCCCTTTTAAAAACAGTTTAGTATATAATTTCTTCATACGTAATAAAAAACATGAAATTGAAGTTAGTTGTTCACAAAAAATAATCAAAATTAAAATTTATTCTATATAATTACGTCAAAATGTCGTTTTACAGTGTGCATTGGACCAAATGTAACACTGAGTTTTATTGATTGCTCCTTTACAGCTAAGAAATGTTCAAACAACAGAGATTGAGAGCGAAATGATATAAAAGATATTTATTTTGCAAAGTAATTGAGACGAATTATCTTGGATTTTTCTGAGAAGATGACTACAGAATAAGCTACCTTAAGGTTAAATATTACATAAACCTTAACAATAATTGTAATATGTTCTGAAATATTTTAGCTTCAAAAACTATTAGCAACAAAAAATGTGATCCATTATCAAATCAAACCTTCTTTTTATAAGGGGAAGGGGGACTGGGGAGGGACCAAATCAAACTATTGGAGTAAGAACAACCTAAAGAGATCAAGAAAACAATAAAACTAAGAGATAAAGAAAACAAAGCAAGGGCAACAACAGTTCATATTGATGAGATGATACACAATGAAAACTATAAAGTATAAAATAACAAAGGCAAACACAAAAAATAGAGAGCGAGAAGAATTCAGTTCAAGTAATCAAAAATTTCATTACATTCACATTCAAATACGTAGATAAAGAGTAAATGTTCAACCAAGATTTTAACAACTATGCAAAATGGATTAGTTGAATGCTCCATGAGATGGTTTTCACATATACAAGAATGCAACTCGCATGACAATATGACCCTATCAAAGTATTCCCACTGATTGTAGACATATTAAATGCTGCAAACAGAAGTCCAATCTACGTTTCAACAATCTAGAAAACTTCAAATATGGAAAAACCTCAACAAGATAAATAGTAGCTAAATCACATGCAAGGCAATGAATACTTGGATTCTAGAAAACCTCAAAAATAGACCCAAATGTCCAACCTCTAAAACTAATGCCATGAAAGCAACATAGAAGCCCCCAACAAGTTTACAATTGTGTTTAACCAAATCAATATGCTAGTAGTTTAGGATTTTCAAACCCACACCTTCACTCAGTGGAAGACATCTCATATTAGGCAACAACAAAAGCTGCAGCCTGAAATTCTTTTGTTGTGAACATAACCCATTGTAATCCACAACCACAACCCCCAAAAGTCGAGCCCATTTTTTCACCTTACGCATCATGGTCTTCGATATAGATTGTGCACACCTAAAAGTTGTGGCTTAAGACCACAACTATATTAAAGGCCAAAAGTAAAGTAAAACAACTAAAACCACAACTATTTGAGTTTTCGTCGAAGTTTAAACACATAAGACTGGAACCATATAAAAATAGAAAACAATACAAGATTTAGCAAACCAAAAACAACCGTTGAGATTTATATTTAAGCTATAAATAGAATGATGCCAACAATTAATCTCATTTCCAAGTTGTTAGCAGCACAAGCAACAATTATCCTCTTTTTACCCAAAAACATATACATAAAAAACATTAAGCCATACAAGCTAGCATTTTTTATTTAAAATTACCCTTTCCATTTGAGTGGTATCATTTAAGTGATATTTTGGCTTATCAAAGCTATGTTGCTCAAACTTGAATATCAGTGTCAGGTGCTGATGTGTCTATAAACGTTTGACTCATCAACTGCCTTTAACTTAAGACACGAGGTTTGAAACCAAGGGATCCTAGAGAAGGATACGGGTGTAAGGATTCGTTTTACATATTAAATATTTTAAGTAAAATATAATAGATTAATTTTGTTATAATTTTTAGATAAAAAATCATTTAAAATATTTTATTTATTAGTTATAATCAATTTTGAGTGACTTTGAAACTTTGATCCATTAATAATGAATTAAAAAAGTTTTGGACTGGCTTTATAGACTAAACAATAATAAATATTTTGGGCCATACTCTTCAAGCCTGGGTCTAATTCTCTAGTTTCTTTGATCCATATGTTCCTTGCTGGTACCTTTTTGCTTACCTCCTTTTATCTACTCTTTTGAAACTGTTCTTCACCTTTCAGTCAAAAGAGGCCGTGTCCCAGGAAATCAACACAGATCCCATACTCAAATTGTCACCCAAACCCACAGCATAAATGACTATCGTTATCCCAATAATACATATTACTCGATATAAACAATGGAGAAACCCAAAAATATGTCCAGAAAAAATCTTAGCACCCAGAACCACATCACATATATCATTATCCCGTAAAGAATTAATTAAAATAGAAAACTCATTTTAACAGAACGAATATGAAATGGTGATAGAAATTAATAATTCGTATCATTAGCTCTTGCATATGTTTATAAGAAATTAGACTTCATGAACCATGAGGTAAACAAACTATCAATCTGAAGCCTTTTAATTTTTCTCATTCAAGTATTTGATTCGAGTGAAAGGAATTATAAAACAAACTCTGTTTACTAAACTTAATTAGTAGTAACAACTGTTCAGTTATATTTACCTTTTCAAAGTAGACTCTATAGACTTCCTAACCAAAATCAAAGGGGGAAAACTTGCCTTATTTTAACGGCAACCAAACAAACAAGTACAAAGAACAAATCCAAGAAAAAGAAATGCGGCTATATATTTCAATGATTAATATCAAAGATCACGGCGCTTCAACATGACTAAATTGTAATATATATAATTCTTAAAAAAACAAAATAATTTAGCAAAGTAAAAACGGAAAAAGAGGAAATTAGGGTTAGAGAAAAAGTACGGTTATTGTGAGGTCTTCCATAGCTTCAAAACAATAGCAGAAACTAAACCAAAACGAGCATCGAAGTAGAAGAGTGACCTTCGCAACTGACACTGAATTGATCAATTACAGAATCGAGAGCCAGTAATGGTCGCCTCCCAACACCATCTTGAAGCAGAGCGGCACGAACGACTGCCAAGTCTGATGAGCAAAAGGGGATCGAAAGAGGCCCGTTTTTGTTGTGTTTGAAGGGTTTTTTAAACTTGGTGTCTAGGCTATAATGAAATTTAAAGTGAAAATATTACCCTTGTTTGGAATTGGAAATCCTCACAAAACATGTTATAAAAAAAATATTAGCACAATTTCAAAAATCCTCTTTTCTTTGTTGAACGTCGGTGGATATGTCTTACATGTATAAGGTACGACAGTCATAATATACGGTTAAAAAAATATTATTAAAAATATTAATATTTATTTAATATTTTTGATAAAACGTTATTCAAAATATTATTTTTTTTACCAAAAATATTAATATTGAGCGCTACCTAAAATATTTAACAATTTCGATAAAATACTATCTAAAATATTATTTTTCTACCAGAAATATTAATATTGGGCGCTATCTAAAATATTATTTTTTAGCTGAAATTAGTTAGCAAAATTAACATTTCCGGTTAAAAAAATAATGTTTTAGGTAGCGCTTTACCGAAAATATTAAAAAATATTAACATTTCCGGTAGGACCTTTCTATAGTCGTATATTAAAGCTGTCGTACAACATAATTATCCCTTACATATGTACATTACCGTTATTATTATTATTTTTTAATAATTTCTACTTAGCATAAGGAAAGAGAATTTTGGTCCAAACAAATAATAAATTCATAACTTAGGATAGAAGATAAGTGTTAACTGAGAGCTTTTAACAACTTGCTTTATAAATTATTGATATTATCGTTATTATTGTTTATTTGGTTTGATTTGCGATTATTATATCTTTTTGACACGTGATTTGTCTAAATTATCTATGTAAATTTAAAGTGATTATTTTCATTTTTTTAACAACTAAATTATAGTGAAATTAACGTGATTGACAAACAATATTTAATATGAAATTCTTTGCAGTTGGAAAAAAATATTTTTAGAAATTTTGAGACATATTTTCAATGAGTAAAGATGAAAATTTGAATCATAAAGATATAGTTTTATATTCTACTTCATGAAACATTTATAACATCACATCATATGTTCAAAATGATTGAATGATGAATAAGAATTTAATGCTCAAAGTAAACTACTTGTGAATTATATTGAAGAATATGAAAAGCATGCATCTCAAATATGGGATATGTTTATATACATGAACCAACTTAGATGTAGTAAAATGTGCGAGACAAGACTTTGCTTTGTGCATAGATGCCAGAGGATGCAAAATGGTGTGAATCTAAACTTGATGGGTTTAAAGGTGTTAGTCGACATCAAATATTCACGAGCAATTGAATTTGTCTTAAGAAAATTGTATAAACAATCCTCGACGATACTCTACTGATCTATCTAATTCCATAATTACTGACGGATAAACGATTTTTATTTCGCTCTTAACCTTTTTATTGTTGTGTTCGATTCAATTATAATTTATTTCTATTACTATTTATTTCTTTAATTAACGTTTTGTCTAACCTTACTAACATTATATTCTTATATTTAATTGAATTATATATCAAACTAGAGATGAATTTATTTAATTTTTTATCTAAAATTACTTACCACTAATTATAAAAAAAATTACTTACCACTATTTTAATGGTTTTAATGATTTCTTTATTAAAATTATAAAAACAATGAAATAAAAGGAAAATTGTGTTCGTCTTAATATATATAATAAAATTAAAATTAAGTAAAGCTATGCATTTTCATAAAAATATTAAAATGAAAAAAATAATAGAGTTAACATAAAGAAAATACAATTATTTTTCATGTCAGAAGTTTTCTGAAATTCAACAACTTATTTATATTAATTGAAAATATGTATTATATTTAAGATATGTTTATAGTAAAATATAATGTAATTTATAATTAGATTCAATAATTATCAAAATGAATGCATAATATGTACCAAAAAATGAATGCATAATTAAATAGATTTTATTAATTTTTAATTGACAATTATTGAATAGAAAAAGATAATAAAAATATATAGAACAAAAGAAAATTAGTTTGGGGTAAATTTACTTTTTTATCTAAAATTAAGATCATCTTTGTGGTACAAAAGAAAGAAAGGCCGACTAGAGTCTACATCCTTAGAGTAGCTACTCCTCTAGCGTCGGCCAGCAGCCATGCAACGATTTCCTCCGGAGGGTGTGTTAGAATATAACTTCCCGTCTCTCGTTCCCGGGCCATTTTCGCAAGAAGGTCGGCACATTTGTTTCCCTCGCGTCAAGTATGTGTGATTTCAACAACCCATCCTTCCTTACAAAACTTGTTACAGTCCCTAACCAGCACTTCTGCTTGTATGTCTTCCCTCTCTTCTTTCTTAAAATTAAGATCATTAATATGTCTTGGGGGTTGGTAGATATCTCATCGAACCTCACGAGTAGGTGATTGTTTTTCAAATTATAAGATAACTCAACGACAGATTTTAGATTTTAACATATCGTTAAATGTTGATGTATGAGAAAAATACAATGTTTGTATTTACACTAAATTAATTAAAAATATATATAACTAATTTGCAAGGCACGAATAAAAAATTAATGTATGTTACATGATACAAATATATGTAAATTTTACAATAATACATCTTTTAGAAAATATTATAATCATGAAAATAACATTGAGAAATTTCTACGCGTCGTCTAAAGATTTAAATAGTAGTTTACTATCAAAATAATAGTTGTTATCTGATGGTTCCAGTATTGTTTGAAATCGTTATTACATGATTGTGATATCTGAAGTTACTACAGTTGTTTCGTTGTTGCTATTATCTCCGCTTAATGTTTCCCTAATAAGAAAGGAAAAGTCAATTGTTTGCAACAAGGCAAAAGCTGTCAATCGAGAAAGGAAAAGGGAAACGATTAGGGTTTACCGAAGTGACTGAGTTAATTGGGCAGCCTGGGCGAGATCGCCTTGTTCTCGTGCCTTGAGGATATTGAACATGAGAGCGAGACGAGCTCGAGTATGGGCAGTTTGTCGAATAATTTGATCGGTTTCGTTTCGGAGCTTATCGCATTCTTCCTGGGTTGCTCGGAGATTTGCCGCCACTTGCCTTTGCACTTGTTTAACGCTTTGCTGCTCTTTGATAATCTCTTTCTTGTCTACCTTCAACCATTTGAATTTCTTCCTCATATACCTTGCTGAATTCTTTCTCTTCAGTTCCCAAGTAATTAAACACCCCCACATTAGTCAAAATTGTTTCATTAAATTGGGATTATAACTTCTATTAGTAAAATACACTTAAAATGCACCATGCATGCAAATTGCAAAGTTAAATGGCAGTGTGTAAAATCTCTCAAACTGGTCTTGTTTTAACATCTAAAAACCGTTGCATGCATGAACATAAAGCAAAATTAATCAGAAAAACGAAAAGAAAATACAAGGGATATTAATACGAAAATGAAAGGAGTGAGTGAGTTTTACGTACATACCTTTCGCCATTTACACAAAACGAAGGATCCTGAGGTTTGCGCCATTGTCTTGGAATAACACAGGAAAGGAAAGTTATTATGCAATCGGCCAACGTGTGTGTGTATATATATACATATATAAATATCTTTTTGTCTGGACAGGAACAAAGTCAAATTGATGTTTTGAACTTAGGTCGGCTAATTAAAATTTTAGTAGTTGTCGAAAGGCGGTGGTGCCTCTGCCGACTAATCTCACCGCGTGTTCGCCTACGTTTTTAGAGCCGGCGCGTTCGAGGTCGCGCGTTATTCCATCTCACCGCGTGTATATTTTAAATCATAAAAGTTTAGGCCGACATTGAAATTGAAGTTATCGACTCAAATGTAACCTAAGTGGATCTGGGCTGACTGGGCCGGAGGCATCAGCCCATTGAACCATAGAATTGGGCGTTTTAGGCTTTTCCTTCATCTTGTTTGTTTAAGTCCCAATGAGGGATATTGCAAATTTGACTTGTTTTCTTTCTCTCTTTACCCCCTCAGGGTTTCTCTTCGTCCAAACAGTAAATCCAGGATGGAGCAAGGAGGAGGGGAACAAGAAAATTCTCCCGCTTTAGTTGACAAAAGCTTTCCTCTTTTCTCCAAACCCCGAAGACCCAAAGCCAGCGAAACCCCTAAACCCTCCATAATCCATGATCCACATACTCCCCAACTAGAAAAATTTTCCTCCTCATCTGCCACCTCCGGCGCCTCGGCTTCCGCTTTCTCCGACCTGGGCCTAGCCGAATGGGCCATCCAGACATGCAAAGAACTCGGAATGCGAGAGCCAACGCCGGTTCAGACCCACTGCATACCTAAAATACTTGCCGGTCGTGACGTGCTAGGGATAGCTCAGACGGGAAGTGGAAAAACGGCGGCCTTTGCTCTACCAATATTGAACCGTTTAGCGGAGGATCCGTATGGGGTTTTTGCGCTGGTTATTACTCCGACTAGGGAGCTTGCTTTTCAGTTGGCAGAGCAGTTTAGAGCATTGGGGTCTTGTTTGCATCTGCGGTGTTCGGTGGTGGTGGGTGGAATGGATATGATTACGCAGGCGAAAGCCTTGGTCTCGAGGCCGCATGTGGTTGTGGCTACACCTGGAAGAGTCAAAGTTTTGCTTGAAGAGAATCCTGATATTCCTAAAGTCTTTCAAAGAACTAAGGTAAATCCCTCATCTTATTCATTGTTGATTTTTCATGAGTGACAGAGCTGGTTTTGATGAGAGTTGTTTTATAGTGTATGATTTGGAACTGACACTGACAAATTCAGAATGTAACTTCGATTGATTTAATTTTGGATAATACATTGCCAGTAGCTAGTAATTTGGCTAAATGAGGAATGAGGATGATGTGGCTGGTAAGAGGTGACCTAATTTGCTTTAAAATGACCTTGAAATTTGTGTTTCATATCATAAATGGGAACGACGAGTGAAGCATTTGAATTCATTGCTTATGTGTGCGTTTCTGTCTTGCAAATTCACGCTATTGGTGGATGAATTGTTGAAATCTAGGACAAAATAGGATGCTGGGTTTAATCATTTTCTTGCGTTGGAATTAATTTGGTATAAATAGTTTTGAGCTGTTTTCTACTCAAGACTCTTCAAAACCTGAGAATAAGAAGCTGGGATATATGATATGGACTAAGGGATGGAGAAGGTTTTCTCATCTAATATTACTTAATTTTGGGATTGAGTCTAAATGATTCTGTATTCTTTTGCTTATTATCAGTTTACGGGGAGATTTAGATATCTTCAGAATGGAGATTTTCCGTTGGAAAATAAGCTGAACTTTTTAGAGTAAGATTGTTGAAAGTGAGTAACTGGAACATGATATTTGTAACCACCCTTGACAACCATCATTGAGTCAGGAAAGCAGGATAAGGATATTGAGATCCTCCATCTGGTCACTGGCCTCTTTAGATCCTTCATGCTAAATAAATGAATATGCTTGTTTTGAAATTGCTCCTTCTTTATGTATTCGTTTTATGTGATTATTTTGTTTCAGTTTTTAGTTTTGGACGAAGCAGATAGAGTTTTGGATGCTGGCTTTGAGGAGGAACTAAGAGTGGTTTTCCAATGCTTGCCAAAGAACCGGCAAACTTTGTTATTTTCTGCAACAATGACCAGTGAACTGCAAACATTGCTTGAGCTTTCAGCCAACAAGGCCTACTTTTATGAGGCTTATGAAGGCTTCAGGACAGTTGAAACGCTTAAGCAGCATTATGTTTTCATCCCAAAGACCGTGAAGGATTCTTATCTTGTTCACATTATGTCTAAAATGGAAGACATGAATATCCGCTCCGCCATGATATTTGCCTCAAGATGCAGGTATCAAACCTTTGAGTAGATTGGCTCTTTTCCTTTTTATGATTAATTTGTCATCTTATTATTATTATTATTATTACAGCTACAATTGGTTAAGCTGTGTACAAAATACAGTATTCCACCTTGTAGATGTTACATTAGTTGTGATTCTTTTCTCCTTAGTAGCTTTATCAGAATTTATTTGAAGTTGTAAAATTTGTGTTTCTTCATAAATTTATGTTTTGACATTTCTTATTCTTGAAAATTTGGGACAGAGATTGTCATCTTTTAAGTTTATTGTTAGAAGAGCTTGAAGTGGAGGCTGCATCTCTGCATTCATTAAAATCACAGGCTCTAAGACTTTCAGCAGTGCAGCATTTTAAATCTGGAAGGGTTTCTATACTGCTTGCTACTGATGTTGCTAGTCGTGGTTTAGACATTCCCACTGTTGATCTTGTCATCAATTATGATCTTCCAAGGTTCTATTAATGAAGAATTTTCTTAATTCCTAGTGTCTCTGAAGTATGCCTGGGCATTGAATGTTAGCTGCTACCCGTTGCAGGTATCCTAGGGATTACGTTCATCGTGTGGGGCGAACTGCAAGGGCTGGTAGAGGAGGATTAGCTGTGAGCTTTGTTACTGAGGTGAGTATGAACTATGAAGTGGTTGTTGACATTGAATATGATTTTTGAGGGCTGTCGACTCTGAAGATCATTGTAGAAAGGTTTTCCCATAAATCTCGAAGAACACAAACTTTAGAAATGAGAATTACCTAGTATTTGTTCTTTCTACAATTGCCTTCAAAATTGTATAGAATTTAGATTTTCAACGTATATGATGCCCTAAGGGGATACCATGCTCTGTTTGCATGTGTTAAAAGCCCTAAAGAGGATTGCCATCTATAAAACAACCCGTAGTTGTATTCCGCATATGTTTCCTGTAATATGTGGTCAATTCTATATAACATAAGACTTTTTGTTAGATAAGGAGGCTATTTTAACTGAAACCAATTTGAGTTTGAATTCCATCAATAAATAAAGCCTCGTTTCCCCTCTCTCTTATTTCAGATTTAAGACTTAGTGATAACGGTGTTGTCACCTTCTGTTTTCTCTATCACTCTCAATGCCAATTCATTTGTGTGGCTTTTATTGTAGTCATGCATGTTATGGATTATCTTCTTCTGATCTAATAAAGAGGCTTTTTAAGTATGAAGATCCTAGTTGTTCATTTGCTTATTAGAGTAATGTAATATGCAGAATGATGTGGATCTTGTTCATGAAATAGAAGCAGAACTAGGAAAACAATTGGAAGAATTTGAATGCAAAGAGAATGAAGTCCTGTCTGATTTCACAAAGGTATGATCTGATAGATTCTTCTTCTTTTTTCTGCTTAAATTGCAGAGCTATTCATTTTGACAACTGTCAGAAATCAACCTTCTGAGGATTTGCATTGTGTGAACTGCTTATGCAATTCCAACTAATGCTCTTAAGTTGAAAATACACGGTTAATCCTTAGAACTGTGGAATAATATGTATTTACGCATCGAAGCTCTTGTCTTACAGCATCAACTATAGAGAGAAATAAAAGAAAATTGGCTTTTTTAAGGCTCTTTTGGCATTACTAAAGAGTTCGTTTTCAACATAGTAGTTTCTGATATTTATCCAAGTCGAGGTTAATTAGTATCTTCTGCAAACTGGCAGGTATTGAAGGCTAAACGTGTGGCCAGGATGAAAATGATGGACGATGGGTTTGAGGAGAAAGTGAAAGAACGTAAAAAGCAGAAACTGAAGACACTAGCTGAGAAAGGGTTGCTGAAGAAAAGGAGTAAGAAAAGAAAGCGTGAAAAATCTGCTGCTAAGATTAGTGATTAAAGTTTAATTAGCATCTTAACAACCCTTACCATCTCCACTGCAACAATATGAGCTCCATTTTGTACAAGGAGCAACTTGCTTCTGTTTTTAATTTATTATATTATTATTATAATTTCTTTAGAATAGCTATCATCAGATTGGTCCTGAGGCTGACTGAACTATATTTTGAATCATTCTCTCATTTATTAAAGAAATTATTGAAAGGTCTTTCATCAACTTTTTTCTCTACAATGTAAAAGCCAAGTGCATGGAGATAAAATGGTCTTTCATCAACTTTTTTCTCTACATTTAAATGATAAAATAAATCAAAATACTTAATTACACAAGCACGAATGTACTTGTACGTGCAAGTCTGACGTATTAATGAGTGCATGTAGGTATAGGTACAGGTACGTGAGTATATGAGATTGCTTTTCTTTTTAAAAATCTTAAATTTGAGTAATTGTATTTACAAAATATATATATTAATAGTTAAAAAAAATTCTAAACATATATTATTTTATAATCATTTTAGATTATCAAAAATAATAATAAATTCTCTTATTGCTTTTTCTCATTGACAGACAAAATATAATAAAAATAACGATAAAATTTTACAAATTAAAGACATAAATAAAGATAAAATATAACTTATCTCATTATAGATTTTATATTATTTACGACACTCCATATATGTTTTTACTCTCTTTGAACGGATTCGCTGAACCTACTAAGATATCGCTAACGCTAAAGCTTCAAGTTTAGACGATTTCAAATCATTCGACTTTAAAGCAGTGGGCTTTTTACATTCAATACTTTGCTAAGAATCTTTTTATCTACCTTCTTCCAGAGTCAAGGTGACCGCATTTTCAGTTGAAGGTTCCATATGTAAACCTACAGCACTTGTATCAGCGGAA